AACAGACTGGTATGTTTTAATTCTGATTGGAGGCAATGTATGACAAGATCCTTTCTTATATCTTTTGTTTCTGCAATATGTTCTTTCCCTACTTCTAGTCGAAAGTAAATGGTCTATGTATATCTACATGTCAATATAGACTAAGCTCTGTGTTTTCTCCTATCTCAGCGACGGTATAAATCGCCATTAGAGACACACTTTTGGTCTATTCGGAGCTAGCTGGACACTGCATCACGTTTTGGATGGGACAAACGTGCCGCCGTTAATGTGCAACTTCAGGCCTAAGACTGCGCGCAGGTATCACACCCATAGTTGACAAACCCAAGTTCAAATCTGACTATTGTCATAATAAATAAATATTCTGCGGAGATAGTTGCATAGTTGAACCACCATATGAATTGAACTCTGCTTTATGTCATGGAAAATCCGGGATCATACTAGACAATATCCTGAAACCGTGGGACTAACGCGTGATACACAAGATATATGTGGTGTTTATGATTTAGTGCCCTGTCACAGAATTGAGTTGCGATCAGCTAATAGAGATGCTCTCTTCTTGTAGCCCTTGTCAAGCAGATTAGGAATATCAGTCCTCACATTGTTCCTACTATTTAATCTCATTGAATAAGTCCAATATACAAGTCGTCATTCTGAAGAGATTGGGTTAAAAGTGTCGAGCCCCTGGCACCTTGTCACGGAACGGTGCATACAATCATGCCCAGTTGCGGCAAACGGGGTGCTAGGATCTATGAGCACGGCAGTTAGTCAAGGCATTATCTGTTAACTCTACGTAGACTCTGAAGTAGCAATGTATATCATATATTCTGCTGCCGCATGACCTAGAGATACTGTGAAGTGCAACATTGGGGGTAGGGGGCGGTTATTGGAGAATTGAATAGCCAAAAGCTTGGGATAATACCATCGAAGCAAACAGAGGATTACAATGTGAACCTAGAAGGTTAATTGTTTGCATGGTCGCCCTGCTGCCCTAGGGCAGAAGTCCGGACCTCATACTATCCTGTGTTTCTCCGATTTTCCTCCTATCCCGGTTAATCACGAACTTCCTCTTCCACTGCCCTGCAACCTCGATATTCCATTTGCTCTATTCTGGACGCATCTGCCCGGCTTCTTCAACACTCTTCCAAGGTCACGTGTAAATATAGAATATCACGTGATGTTTGGCTCCACCCCAATGCTGACATAACGATAGTTGCCCTGGACAACTGCACGTCAACAACGGATCTTGGAGTATTCGACTGTTCCAGGCACGCGATCCTCGATCGATTGACTTGCATGCAGTACATACAGTCTATATGGGTGCTTGTTAACATCCCATTTAACCCCACCATCACGTCCCCCCGTTGAAGTCGATCCCTTGATTGACTTCACCGCTTCTCTGAACATCAAACACAGTTTACATACCTCGCCAGACATTGCAAATACATACTATCGCATTCCTATGTGCCCATAAGAAAACATACTTTTGCCTCCAAGGACAACTTGGCACCATGTCTGGTTTCCTGAATGAAGCTCTGACCCCCTGTCCATGGAAGTCGGGGTCTGCAAGATTCAGCGAGCCCAATAGTGGAAGTGACACATTTGATAGCCTGTTGGACGAGACACTTTTTGAGAACACAGGAGAGATCGAGTTCACAACCGAAGTACGCGCACCGGTTTTGACGGGTACGCGTCCTCGACGCGCGAATAAGACAAAACCAACATTCCATATCCGCGAAGAAAGTGAAGATGCGTCTGTGGGTCGCGAAAAGCGACGACGAACTGCTGAAGTCACCCGGTCATCAGTAGGCCGCAAGTCGTCGCTGCTTGCTCAGCCAGCTCAACGATTTCGCCCAACCGTCAGCTTTACTCAGGAGACGAAAGAGGAGATACTGGCACAGCCCAAGGTTTCAGGTGTTGGGGCCAGAAATAAGAACAAATCCTCGACAATACTTGGTGACAAGGACCCAAACAAAAAATCTGCGGGGGACCCTCTGAAGAAAGGCGTTCGGCGCAACACTGTCTACATCCCTCCTGATGACACTACGGTCCCCAGCGTGTTCATGGGTCTCTTCAGTCCACTCAAACAACAACCTGGGTCTTCCAAGTCACAAACATCGGAAATCTATGAAATTAATACCTTTGAGTCACAAATTGCCAAACGCCAGGCACGGAAGTCTTTGGCGGCGTCTGCCCGACGAGCACCACTGCAGCAAAGCTTAAAGGTTCCCCAGGTGGATTTAACAGCACCTGATATCCCTGGAACCGGTGGCGGCAAAGAGAATCTACCACCTGGGAAGTTTACGCTCCCTAAGGATAAAGACGCCAAATCCGATGATATTCCACCAAAGCCAAGGGTCGCTCGGCGCAGAGAGACAAACGCCACTGCAAACCGAACCCCCGCAACCAGACAACCTCGATCCACGACAGTTGCCACCGCAAATCAAACAACAACCAGGCACAGAGGGGGACAAAAAGAGCCACTGAGAAGAGTGGCGTTTGGTGAAACACAAGGAAATGCTGCCAAGGCTCCCAAGGAGCAGGTGAGACGTGCAGTGCCACTCGGTGCCCGAGCAACTCCTTTGCCAGACAGGCTGGGTGACTCTAAGTCATCTCAGAACCTCTGGATTGGTCACATCAATTCCACGCTCAGGGAAGCGAACCATCGGTTCTCGTTGCTTGCAGAACATATTACGGAGCCAGCTTTATACGAGGACAATTGGCTGTCGCACCAGGAGACTGTAATTGGTCAGCTTGTCAATGGACTGTTTGAATATTCGGATCCCCAGTTGACCAGCTACGATGCCAATGCTCTTCGATTTGACCTGCTCAATATCTACCACACCAAACCATTTATAGATCTCTACAAACGCCTCCAAGGCTCCTTGTCTTGTGGTGCTCTGAGGATCCCCACGGAAACCCTCACTCGAGGTACACGGCTCCATCAAGACCTTGGTGTCAAAAGAAGATTCCTGGATATCTGGATCCAATCTTATGATCTCCGTGCATTGGTTCCAGCCTTGGAGACTGTCGTTGGTCGGCAAATCTCCGACGATTCGACTTGGCTTGTGGATGGTCTCAATGACGGTCCAGGAAGCGCATTTTCGAAGAAAATGGTCATCAGAACGGTGGAAGAATTCTTGAAAACATTTTTGCTTCGCAATGAAGATATTGATCAATCCACAATCAGCTTCAATGACCGTGCGGTTGAAGGGAATGCAAAGATTTACCACCGCGTTGTTCTGCGAAGCATCATGCTTGTTGCCCTGTTGGACAAAGGCAAAGAGTGTCTTGGGGCTACTTTTCCTCGCCGGCTCTTTCAGCCCTCTTCTGACTTCAAATCTTCCGCCGATGTCTTCCGAGCTTTGTTGCGCCTACTGATTCCATCTTGTGGTGATATTAATAGGCTGCTTGCCCACCTGAACTGCCGATTATCTCACAAGCAGCATCAGTTGCAAGAGTACAATTACAAGATCAACACCATGGCCGTCGATTTCCGAGATGGCGTGCGGCTGGCTCGTATTGTCGAGCTTCTTCTCCTCTTACCACAGCATCTGCAATCTGACCCAGATGCATCTACTCAGGTATCTCTGCCTACAGGCGAAGTCTTTTCACTGACCGAGGGCCAACCCGACTTGCCTCTGTCTCAGCATTTGAAATTCCCTTGTGTGAGCCATGCAGTCAAGATCTTCAATGTCCGCCTTGTCCTCGGAGCTCTGGCCTCCCAGAAGGGTGCGGCCGCGGTTCTTGATAACATTCAGGCTGAGGACATTGTGCTTGGCTACCGCGAAAAGACCATCGCCCTGCTGTGGGCTTTACTCAGCAAATGGGGGCTTCCAGGCCTCGTTGACTGGGATGATGTCCGCAAGGAAATTACCCGCCTCAAGCACAAGGCTGTTACCCAGCTTGGCTATGAAGCAGTCAAAGACGAAGCTTGGTTCTTGGATAAGGAATCACTTGGTGACGAACATTCAGACCTTCTACAGCAATGGGCAGGCATTCTAGCAGCCCTGCAAGGACTTCGTGTAAACAACCTGACCACAAGCTTCGCGAATGGAAAGGTCTATGGGAGCATCATGGACGAATACGAACCATACATTGTTGGGGGTATCAGCGAAAGTGATAAAACAAATCTCCGTTTCAGCTCCATGTCGTTGGAGTCGCGTCTCAAGCAATTGGGGTGCAGCTCGCAATTTGGTAAGCAAATTGGTGCCATACTTCTGTTACCGGGCTGATACTAACGTCGTTTATTAGCATGCCTTGTTGCCCCAGGTACAACATCGCACATCCTGAACTGCGATACGACCCTTGCGGCGCTGGCGTTCCTCTGCTCCCGCATGCTTTCCGCATCCAAGCGTGCCCGAGCCGCCACAGCCATCCAACGCGCCTGGCGCTTCCACATGGCAAGGAAAATGCAGCACCGGCGTGAGGTCGCTCGAGATCTCGCAGAGAACTGTGCTGCCGTTGTTCAAGGCCGGACGGAGATATTGGGGGCAGCAGAGGTCATCACCCGGTGGTGGCGGGAGATCAAATCCCACAAGCAGCGAGAGCAGACCCTGCAACGCAAGGCTTTGCGCAAGTTTTCTGGTCGCCAGAGCCTCGGGCTTCGGGGCCTTCGTCGGCTCTGAACGAGCTTTACTTTCCTTTAGTCTTCTTTTTATCGATACCCCTGGAGCGTTTCTTACCATCATTTGATGTATTCTTACCGTGATTCATTTTTTTATCACCTGCCTGTTATGGGTAGGCAGATGATTTGAGCGAGTACATACCTGAACATGAACGAGTTTTGTTGTATACTATCCTATCTACTCCTCTCTATGTAACTTATGCAACCCTATGTTTGCACAGTTTACGGTCCCATCATAGTCCGTCCCATGGGGTCCCATCGCGTATGAAACGGGGTTCAGGACGTTATTGCCGTGAACCAGGATTATAATGCTTATAAAACAGGTAATACTTCTTCAAGCGGAAAGGTATTATTATACATATATTTTGCAAGTCATCTATAGTGGATCCTTGAGATGAATCACCGGATCCATACTCCCCATATCGGACGTCCCATCCACGTCTTGCCTATTACTCTCCATATCGGTGCTCTCCCGACTTGTCGAAGCCATGGCATTAGCCCCCTTTGATATCGTTGACGCCGCTTGATCACTATCAAGCTCTCGAAAACCGGTTTTCTTTCCCCGCATTGACTGTAGGTGGTGGCTGGATCCGGCGTAGGGCTGCGAGTTATATTTCGAGGTGCCACTCTTGGTAGTACTGCGAAGGCCTTGCACGAGTGGATTGAGGAGTGGGAGAGAGCCGCAAATGATAGCCACATCGAGTTCGAGGCAAGTCCAGATGGATTCTTTGGCGCTAGATGCTGCTTGATATTAGCTGCGTTCCTAATATGCGCTGGAATGTGAACTCACAGGCAAGATCGGTGACTTGAAAATTGCGGAATTCAATAAGGCGCATTAGACTGAATATACAGACGCTGCCAACTGTCAGTAAAAGGGAGGGGCTTTTTGTTATGTGGAGGGGGGCTTTACAGTCCACCGAGAGAAAACACGATCATTAACGCGATCTTTTGCCGAGCGTTGATCTTCAAGTTCCAGAACACAGGAAGAGGAAGACAGAGAATGATAACGTCTTCAATCAATGCAATCGATCCCATGGTCTGGAAGAATTGAACTTGTCCCTTCATGCAGTGTCCGTCCAAGTCTTTATTGTAGTAGTATTGCACCGGTGTGCATTGGAAGGTATTGACCAGCAGCGCAGTGATGGCCCATAGGGTGATGAATACCATCAGGCAGTAGGAAATAATGGTGTATGCACGGATGGAGCCGAAGAGACGTTTAATAAAGACGACGATCGAGATCTTAACGAAGGCCATTGACGGGGCCCAGAACTTCTGTATCATCCAAGATCCCTGCGCAAGATATTGTTAGATTTCCCATACTCGTCTCAAGGTCGTAGTCGGGTAGGTCAAGACATACAAATTGAATGCGCATCCGTTCCTGTTTGGGGAGCGATGCGACCGGCAGACCGACGCCATTGAAGGCGGCTTTGATAGTTAGGATCTTAATCTTAATATCCCGGCGAGAGGAAGGGGGGAAATGCTCACTGTCTATCACAAAAGCTGTAGCACAGTAAGAAATAATCAAACCGGCACCCATTAGATAATCTTCCAGCAGAAGCCCTAGGGACTTCAGCCGCCTGCAGTAGAGGCGTAACAGGTAGATGATGGTCGCCACCGCAGCCCCAACGATCGGCACAATAGTGAGGACATTTTTCCAATATGCATGCACCTTGTTCGCCATTCTTCGGAATGAGAAAGATAGAAAAACATCTAATCTCTGAGATCCGAGACCCAAGACCGAGGGCTAGATTAAAGGGGTCATGATATTATCACACTCGTATATATTAATGCAAACTCAAGCTTTGCGCGCAAGAAGAACTCTAAAAGTCCGAGACCGGGCCTTCTCGACGAACAGGATGATCGGCATTTTACCATGTAACCATCGGTCGTGGTAGATCCAATGGTGAGCAGACAAACTTGGCTCCTTTGGGGTTCGGTTTGGATGCTGAGGTCACCGGGAAAATTCTGTTTCACCCATTCGACCTATTTCGGAGTGGAACATACCAAATCCTTTTGCGCCCAAACGCCGAGAGAGATATAATGCATTAGTCTCACAGGTTAAGTGTGGTTTAATCCAGCAGCCAATCATATAAGACATTCGGCGGTCACTTGCCTAAACCAGCTCAAATCCCAACTCTGAAGATATTGGCCCCCATCTTGATGAAGTTTAGTTTCTCTTAGTGTCTCCTAGACCAAGGTTAGAGAATTCTCGCTGTTTAATTGAGCTTTCCGTTTCAAATTCGGAACAATTGCGCCTTTGTGATCTTTCATTCACCATCGCCAAGTATGGTGCTTAAGTTGTCCGGGGTGGCCCTGTTGGCCTTAGTAAGCTATACCGTTGCAAAGCAATGCACTTTGGATAACTTCAATGCAACCGTTGGAGGACATGTCCAGCCTCTCACTCCTTTCTCCTTACCCTGCTTCTCCAGCTACAATGGCAACCCGGTGGCTCGCGATGATGCCGCCTGCGCCGTCATTCAGGCGAACTACTCGGACCCATGGCTGCGGACCAACTCTCCCAGTGGCTATATGAACAATCAGGATGAGATGTGGGCATCCGATCCCACCGATCAGTGCCTCCTTGACAGCAGCGACCCCACGGACCCCCTGGCGTACGCAGATGCCGACTGCCGTCAGGGCAACCTACCCTCTCACTATCTCGAAGTACAGAGCCCGAGGGATGTGATTGAAGCTTTCAAGTTCTCCAACTGCTCTGGCAAGCAGCTCGTCATCAAAAACAGTGGCCATGACTATCTCACCCGCAGCAGTGGACGTGACACGCTATCCCTTTGGACCCGCAACCTGCGATCTATGCATTATAGTCCGAGCTTCACTCCCAGTGGCTCCAAAAACACCGCTCGATACAACGCTATCACTGTAGGTGCCGGTGTCAACTTCGACGAGGCGTATGCATTTGCGCAGGAGCACAGCGTCACCATCCTGGGTGGCTACTCAAGCACCGTCGGTGTCTCAGGCGGCTGGGTCCAAAACGGTGGCCACTCCATCTTGAGTCCCGTGTACGGTCTCGGTGTTGACCGTGTCCTTGAGTACAAGGTCGTCACCCCTGACGGGGTCTACCGCACCGCCAACGAATTCCAGAACCCCGACCTTTTCTGGGCCCTCCGCGGTGGTGGCGGCGGAACCTTTGGCGTAGTCCTCGAAAGCACCCACCGCGTCGAGCCTGCTATCCGCTTCGTCTCTGCCAATATCAAGTTCCCCGCCAACTCCACCAACATGCTCCCATTCATGGAGATCATTGTCAACAACACCCTCAAATGGAGTCAGGAAGGATGGGGTGGCCACATCACCGGTAACACCCTCGTCAACGTCTCTCCCTTGCTCTCTGTCGACCAAGCCGAGGCCTCCCTAGCAAGCGTTATTGCGTACGCGAGAGCAAACGGCGGCTCCGCCACCATTGAGGAGTTCACCTCCTGGTATTCTTTCTATGATAAATATGTCAAGACCAGCTCCGTCGCCGTCGGCGTCACTCGCTTCCCCGGAAGCCGTCTGATCTCCCGCTCCGTCTTCGAGACGGCCAAGGGCCGCTCAGACCTCATGAGCTTCTTTGAAACCATCCAGTCACTGGGCCAAACGCCGTACATCCCTGTTGTCGGACCGGTGTTGTACAACTACACCGAAGGCTCCACTAGTGCCGCTCCCGCCTGGCGTGATGCTATCTGGGAGTTGGGCTCTGGGGCTTCCTGGGCGTGGAACAGCACCGTTCCCACGCGCAAGAAGACAATCCAGTCCATTCAGAACACGACTGCCATTATTGAGGGCATCACGCCTGGCGGTGGTGCGTACAGCAATGAGGCAAATCTGTTCACGATCGACTGGATCGAGTCGTGGTGGGGTGACAATTATGAGAAGCTGGTGAGCATTAAGAAGAAGTATGATCCCTTCGGTTTGTTGAGTTGCTGGAAGTGTGTTGGCTGGAAGGAGTCGCAGGTTGCTGATTCCTCCTATGCTGCTCTTCTCTGATTCTGGAATCTCTTTGCCCATTTGATGTACCATATAGACTTTACACCATGTACATACGTACCATATAACTAGACTGAACAACCGCAATGCGGTTTTGGTTCACTGCGATATCAACAGTACAGACTTTGCCATTCCCCGAATTGTTGTCACTCGCCCAGAGTGGCGTATGAATCCTGCGTCAGCTCAAGATTTTATCCATTACTTCGACGTATCTATATGATTCCGCCACAGCCATCACACCTGCCCAGGTGGGCAACTCCCAAACAATGACATCATAGGGCGCACCAATATAACCACATCTTTTGGCCCATTAGCTCTTCATTTCTACAATCACAGCCATCTACTCCATTTCATCCTCTGTCCAAAATCTGAACCAAACGTCTCTTGATCAAATCCTCTCCTCTCCTCTCGATCCACACGCAAAGAAATCTACCATGCCGATCGACACTTCCTCTCAAGACAAAGGCGTCACGGGCGCAGCCAAGTTCGTGACCTCCACACTTGGAAACACAGTCGGTGGAGTTACTCGCACGCTTGGCGGAGTAACTGGCACTGCAGGTCGGGGTATTGGGGATACCATCACCGGCGCGACGGGAAGTACTGGCGAGCCGGTTGGAAATATGCTTGGTAGTGCGACTACTGGACTTGAGGATGGCGCGAAGCGGGTTGCTAAGGGGGTTGAAGATGCTGGGAAATGGAAATAAGGGATCGTTTTTGCTTTTTTTTCTTGGTATATAATTTGTTTGAGGCATGTAGTCCTCTCTTGTAACTATCCCGTCCTGGTTGCAACTTTTGCTTCTCTTTGAGTGGAGTTGCTTTCTTGCCTGGAATTAAAGCTATACCCTCTCGATCTCAGAGTTTCCTTCCTTGTTCAAGTCTCCTTAAGGGTGCTTTTCCATGCCTTTGAGCTCAAGGCTTGGAAGCATACCTACCTACTGAATGTTTGATATCAACCCCGTTCTCCTTTGAGCATATGAATATCAGAAGAATACTCTAAGGGGGATATATCTGCCTTTTGGGGATGTAGGCTGGAGATTAGGGGAATATCTAGCTCCATGAGAGGATAGAAATAATCTCATACAACCATAGTAAGGAACGATCATCCCCAACACATGGTTTGTGTAACAGAGTATTCCAGGAACCCACGCGATATCAAATACCAGCGTGGGATAGAAACCATCAGAACAGTTACAGTATATCTTGCAATGCAAATACATTCAATGTAAACGAAGATCAACAATGACATCCGAATACAAGGTCCGGGTTGCCAATTCAGGAAGAAATGCACCGACAACCACACCTCGTATCCAACTCAAACCACCAAATCAGAAGCAAAAAGTGGTGCCAATAACTGAGCTTCAAATCCATCATCCTGCCTTATGACCTCAGCGCCGAAATGCCTCATACATCTCTATCCTTCTGACTGCAGGTATAGCATCATACCGCAGAACGATCATCTTCGAACATGAAACCCACCACGCTACTTCCAATAGAAGTTTACATCCCCATGGCACTGGTCACCGCATTTCTCCATATCCCCTACAGGGCAAATGCTGACGTACATGCTACTGTATGTCATAGATGTCAAACCCTCGATCTGACGTGGAATCATCCCATCTCGGGAGGGACCGCTAGTGCCCAAGACAGATTGTAACCAAAGCACAGGCTACCATGGCAACGACTAACGCGTATGCAAAACGTGACATTTACAGGAGTGACATCACCGGTAGAATCAGCATCGAGATCTCCCTGGACTAGAGTATAGTATACTATCGTACACTACTCGGTGGCTGGATTAAACATCCCACATACTATATATATCCAACAAAACAAAACCAGCCCTTCAAGCCCTATACTGACACCGCCATTACCTGCCCCTCTTCCAAAGGCCCCAGCATAAAAGACAGTCGTCATAAGCAGGGGATTGGCGGGATTGGCGGGATTGGCGACGAATGACAAGCACCTGGCGCGATTACGTAGGCCGGGATTCGTCTACTGTAGCTGCCATTTCTGTCGATGATCTTCGAGTGTTTGTGGTTTGGGTGATTGCGATGGACATCGTCTCTTTACCTATGGAATCTACGTCTCTGGATATGGATTCGAAACGTGTTTCAGCTATCCCTGCCATCTGTGCCTATCGTTTTAGAAATGATATCACTGTCTATATTACAATGCTGCGGTCGACGGATTTTGTTTGGACTTGTATTGTAGGGCTTTCCGACCGAGTTGTTCACGTTATTTACATTATGGGTAACGTTTGAGTTAACGCTGCGAGGGGTCCTTGGGGCATGGGATGTGCTCAGCGGCTGATGACACTCTTTTGCGACCGACAGAGTTTCGTGTATCAGTCGCTTGTTGTGGCACGTTCACCTGGTACTATATCTCCGTGTCCTCGGCCTGTGTCCCATGGCAGAGAGCCCATGTTGCTGAACGGCATCTTCATTGGCAAGTTAAAGGACACCCGATGACCAGAGTGTTACCTGTGCGGAGAGAGGGGTTGATGTCGATCAACTTCCAGAAGATTTTGGAAGTCGGCTTGGACGTAAGTAAAGTATTGAAATCGGGGTGAAATAATGCACAGACAGTAATCGTCCGAGGACTTCCTCTTGAGGCTATGACTATACACGTAACGTATTGAGCATATCTGACGTGGATTGACTAGGATGAGAAGGCGACAGTCTTATGGCGTGTGCCAAGTCCTAGTATGTTTCTATAATTATTCAGGTTAGTGTTTGACTACACGCCGGAGGGATCGTAGAACCCCAGTGACATGGCTGATGGCTGCAGGGATGTCGATCGGACAGTCCGAATTGAACTGTTCTTCCAAGGCATCCAGATAAAGCCGGGGGCTGTGTGGTATACACATCTCATCGGACCGGACCGAGTCAAAGGGCCAAAACTATAACCCGTCGAACCCCCTAACCTTGTCACTCTGTGCAACCGCTTGGCAACAATAGCAACCCAAATAGACCAGTTTGAATACTCGCCAAGGCCTTCCTGCGCCTCGCATGATCGCCCATGATCGCCCTTGGCACGCCTCCATACTCAGCACCGCCGAGCCTGAAGATTGATTTGAGACTCAATATGTAGGACGGATGCTTGGCGAGAGAGGGAGCCCCTATCATGGACTGTTTTGTTATCTGCGAAAAAGGGTGTAGACAATGCCAAGAGAAAATAAAAGGGGTGACCTGAAGCTATTCTCGCATCTTGCATTTCGCAGCTCTGTATCGGTCACGATACTCCCCTTTTGTGGAGTCTAGATGCCTGCCTTGCTTCATCTCCATACTCTTGTGACCCCAGAAATACCGTTGACAGGTTCTCCAGAGTGGCACAGACACCAGATTCCAGTTCGAAGTCGTACCGGGCGCATTCTGAAGACCGCCGAGATCTTGGCGGGTGCGTTCACCCTCGCGCTGGTGCCAAGCATTCCTCTCTTGTCTCCGTTGATCATTGAGTTTCCCTCTTCCTGTCTGCACTGCCGGGTAGATTATTGATCTGCCAGCTCCGAGATGGTGAATGCACAGCTTTGGCTTGGCGAGGTATTGTATCACCCCATTCACAAAGAGATCTGCTTATATTCGTACGTGTAACTTATCCTCTCAGTTCCGAGATGAGGGACTTGGCATTCTTTGCCAATTCTGGTCTCGTTTTTGAAGGTAAAGACCTGGGGTATAAAGGACTCAAAGCCAGCACAGACCAATTGATAAAACGGACATTCGGAGAGGAAGAGAAAGCAATGCAAATCAAAGATCAAGCAATTAAAATAGAACATGAAAGAAGAGAAGAACTTTACAGTAACAAACATCCCGTCTTAGCTTTACTGTATTTGGCGCAGGTTGCAGTAGCGGGACTTAAAATGCCTCATACTTTACTAGACGCTACTGTAGAGGTAAATCCTCCAATTCAGCCTTTTAGCCCCCTTATTTACCGCTTACCGCGCAGTTTGCATTGCAGCGTGCAGCGACAGTTGTCCAATCTCAACTCTTACTTCCCTCCACTTCCCCAGGTGGTGCTCCCGGTCAATCCTTTGTGTATCCCGTTCAGGCATGTCTTAGAGATCCCGCTCGTGCCATCTGCCCGGAGTCCGGTCTCCACCTGCACAGTTCACACCTTATTGCGCTACAGTCCTTGGCAGCTCCATTTGTATACATTGACGTGTACAGGTATGGAGTACTCCATACATCGTATGCAAGAACGAGAGGATGGAGAACGGCGGGTCGGATCAGTTGTCAATGATCAATTGAGTGACGGCCACGATTGAAGTGTCCACCCTTGCCACAGTGCAACTATACAATCTGCATTTTATTCCTTCCAGATACCTTGTCTCTGGAATAAATCCTCGTTATTTGCCCTATATACAGTACATAATCCACAGAGATCGGCGGAGAGATTGACCGTAAAGTATCAAGGACATTCCCCAATCCAACCGCATGGCCAACATTCGCGCCCAGGATTGGCAGAGCCCATTGTGACCAATTTTAGGCGTGCGGAAGGAGAAAAGTGAAAGCCCAGCTTTTTCGTGAGGGGCGGCCAAGCCGTCCTATCCCGTCTGCGATGTCGCTCGTCAGCGCGGGAATTTTTGCTGTCCCATACTCTTGCATTAGTACACCTGGAGTACATTATTTACGTACTCGTAAGCGATTCGACGGTGTTCTTTGCGCCCGGCTGCGAAACTCCCAGGAAGCAACAAAGCAAACTGGAATAGTATACAACATTGTGTGGGCGAATCGCTTTGCTTAGCCCGCTGCTCTTCCCGTCCCTGTTACATGTATAGTATAGATCCGTTGGGTAGGTATAGATACAGTACGTAAAGCGATTTCGTGATCGGATACTGTACTTACTATCTCAAACAGGAGCTCCGATCCGAATGCGAATCCATAGTTACAGTACTCCGTATAGTCAATGTCAAATGTCAATGCCAATTGCATCAATGCGCCCATACACTCATACACTACCCGTTGCATTGCTAACAAGCTTCTTCTCGCTATTCCAAGCTCTCCTTAACCGTCGTGTCAAAGCTGTCCAGGAAAGGGCTCGAGAGTGCATTCGTATACATCCACGCCACTGAGCTTGGACTTTTGCTACAGGGGCCATGCTTGCTCGCACAGATGCAGTGTGGGGGGATCTCCTTGGATTCGCGAAGCTTGTCGAGATCTCAACTGGCTGCTGCATTTACATGTACATATTTTAGGTAGAGCCCTACTCGTTGGTTTGGGAAATGATGGGCTGTTGGGCTGTTGATTATTTCCTGGCCTGGTCTTGCGAGACTCTTGGGCCTTTTGGTATTGGTATTTTGTTTCTCTTTTGGTTATTGTCCGGATTACTATACAACTATACAACCTTGAATCAGCTGTTCGCTATTCTAGGGCTGATCCCGATCGCGGCTGACCGCTTCTCGTGCTTTTTTAATGTGGGCTCTGTGTATGCCCCGATGTAGTGTTGAGTCATCGGGTCAGATATCGAATGGTTTTGGGGGTTTTTATTTGCATTTTTTTGGGTTTACTGTGGAGATGACCTTTATGATGATCGAAAGATAAACAAGGCTGCCTGTTTAACAACTCATTGTACAGGGTTGATCGGTGAAGAGGCATTGTATATGTATACCCAACACTCTGCGATCATCGCTTCGCCTCTTTGAATGACGAAACAATCCTACATTGAAGTATGGCCCAGCAAAGGGAGAGCTTGGCATCCCTACCAGCTA